ACACTGGGCGTCTATAGGTAATGTAGGCAAGCTTTTTTATAGATTGAGTTGATTTTTTTTTAAGTTTTGGTGCAGAATATTAGGTGCTCACCTAGTTCTCAACTACAAAATATTATTAGAGTATGTTATTTAGATCCTTGACTTTGTTTCTGAAAGTTTTGCCACCAACAAGACCCAGTTTTACATACTACAGCAGTTGAGGCAGTCTCTCACTTTGTGCAGGGAGCTGGGTGTGACATTGGAAGACATTGACAAGCTGGAACGCTCCCGCTATGAAAGACTTTTACATGACCTCCTGAGCACCAGCTTGACATGGGCATTGAATCGGGAGTTCCTTGCAACCTGCAATATGCGCACCCGCTTGCCACGCCCTCCTGCATCAGCCACTACAGAAAGGTGCTCTTCTTAAGTTTAGTAGGACTAAACACAAATTTATGTCTGTGCTTTGGCCAGGCAGAGGTCAGGCTAATGCGGTACAATATGTTAGAGAGGGGGCCCTAAACTCGTAAAACACAAAGTTGGAACCAAAAGTTTGCGGAGCGCGCCGATTGGACGTCGGTGAAAAAAGCGTAAAGTCGTCGTAGTGATAGGCCAATCGGTGCACTCCGTCCCCAACTTTAGGTTTGACGAGTTTAGTGGCTCAGGGGTTTTCAAACTTTTTGGTCCCACGGAATCCTAGGAAGCCTAAAAAATTGCCGCAGAACCCCCCCCTCCTCACTCCATATTTGATGACCAAGAAGCAACACTAGCACAATCATAGGCAATTTTGCTTGTGTTGCTTCTCATATATCCCCACCATTTCAATCGTGATATCAGTACATAGTGAGATGAAGGCGCTTTGCCCGGCCCCGCCGTGCAGCCTGCGGTGTGGGTGTGAGGGAGGAGGGGGGGTGCAATTTGGGTGTTCGCGGAGCCCATGAGACCAGTTCGTGGAGCCCAGTTTGAGAACCCGTGTTAGAGATACTTACATTGTGGAATGCTTGATTGGATGCAGTCTAGTACCAATGTTATTAGATATATACTCAGTTGTGGGATTGCTCATTGGTGCTCTACAAAGAAAGGCATCTGAAACTGTACCCAATTTTTACAGAAGATGACCTGGGATATAAGTAATACAATAAAACCTCGTTATAACAAAGTTGAAGGAGCGGTTGTAATTATTTCGTTATAACCATTAGTTTGTTATAGCCAATGTCCATTTCTTCCCCCTATTAGCAAGCAAGGGGAATTATGATTCCTTTGTTATATCCATTAGTTCGTTATATCCCATTTGATTATAACATAGATTTTCTAGACAAATATTAAGATTTAAAATAGTTTAAAAGAGGGCTCTTTGCTGCTAAGAATAAACATTCTAGACCTAAAAAGAAAAAAACAAATGGCACTCCAATAAAGAAATAATTCTGTATAATGTTATCAACTGCAGAGGGCTTTAGTGTATGAATGTAAAGTGATAATTAACAAACTAATTACCTATGTTTAACTTATTAGGCATGATGCAAGTTGTAATTAAGTGAATTATTTTTGTTTTGTTTTGCAGGCATGCTGTGAGCCTTTACTTTGATCAAAATTCTCCAGATGACATAGAGTCATTGCGGTCACTGTGCTCTTGCTTCGGCCTTTTTCATCATCCCAAATTTTATCCGAGAGGCTTGTATCGTGGAATGTTAAGGTAAGTACATTCAACAATATAAAAAGTAAACTTTCCTCAGAGGTTCATCTATAGATTTCAAGTACTTTGTATAAATAAGGAAATACTTCTGACTTTTATCTTTCCAGGTTTACATGGGAAGACTATGATGTATTCCTCATTGGAAGATACTCTCCCTACTACAAATTCAAGCCGAAAAATATAAGCCCCCTCTCATTGGAACGAGCTGTTTCTGGTTGATGGTTTGTGTGCTTTTGCCTGTAATGATTGTGTTACCAATAAAAATTTCAGATTAAAATACCTAGGTAATTATTGCAAGAGCACAATAAAGATAATCCTCCTAGATGAAATGAGGACCCCTATCTCCTTTTCTTATCAGTGTTCCTCTTGCAACAAGAAACCGCCCCTCGTTTTATCATGTAAAGTGTTGTTGCTTAGCATTTGTTCTCAAAGGACAAAGGAAGGCTGAAAGGCAAAAAAAGGAAATTTCTGCCTTGCACTGAATGAATAAATGAATGAACGGACTTTATTTGCAGCAGCTCGTAGTCCGAGACGTTTTGTGACTGATTTTGCCACTATGCGAAGCACAAGTTCATCTGCTTCTCATGGAGGGGTTGCAGGGACGTCAGAACGCCGAGCTCTTATTGGTTCCGATTAGAAGGATAGTGGGTAGACCTCAATTCTGGCTGCCTTGGGGCCTACCCACTATCCTTCCAAGAGGAGCTAATCGGGGCGCCCCTCTACAACCCCTGTGCAAGAAGCGGACAAACTTGTGCTCTTTGCATTAAATACCAGTCGTCGCTCGAGTGGGACGAGTGTCCATTTTGCTTTGTGTCATTTGCCAAAAATCTATTCTGTAGGAGGCCCTTTTTTGTCCTCGGACTGTTTATGTTAACTTTAAAACAAGTTGATACAAAGATTAAGTTTGCTTACAGTATGAATAAAAAAGATGGAGGGAAAAGTGGGGGGGGGGGGGGGGGGGGGGGAGGGAGGAGGAGGAGGAGGAGGGGGGGTTGAGAAGACCAATTTTCTCATTTGGTTAGATTTAACTTGCACAACAAGTAATTTCTAGCCAAAGTAAGTTTCAATCATGTACATTATTCCCAACAAGGTAGAGGGGTTCAGAGCGATAAACTGGTATCTCGTTCACGAGGCAAAAGTGATTCCCTCTGCCACCTATAAAATTTTTACCCACTAGAGACATACCGTACCAAATCCTGAGGATTTTACGCAAAACTGAGCCGAGATTTGTATTATGATTGCTGTAAAAAAATGTGATAAACTATTTTTCAATACTGTTAAGTACTGTTAGCCCCCAGAGATCAGTGTCTAGTTCTGATAAAACCCCAAAATACAGTGCCGCAGCTGACAGCATCTAGCGGAGTCATTGCGAAGCTGCCCGAGTTTTAATCCGAAAGCATTAACCCATTCGCTACCGTACGCGTCGTACTACTAGGCCGTCCGTACCGCACATTTTTCCTCTAAAAGCCTTAATATATTAATAATAAGTACTGAGGCGTGACTGTTTTGCTTGTATAATAAGCTTTTACAGTGCAGAAAACAAGAAAACATGTTTATTTAGATGCTTAAATGATTTGTTTAAGTTTTTAAATCAATAAGCCCTCACAGATTCTTCCTCGTATGAAAGATCTCGAAGCGCTTCATTCTCGGTCGCACAACGAGTGCGCTCTTGTTGTGATTCGGACTCCGAAATGCTGTTGGAATCGCTCCCGTCGTCGACAGAAGGCTCCGAAAACTCACTATCCTCACCAGACGTCCCGTTATCGCTGTCGAAGAGGATATATATGATTTCATCGTCAAAAAGGCCACACCGCACACTGGACACTGCCATCTTCTCCAAGCAGGCAGCGATTGAGATGGAAAGATGACACACAAAAGAACAAGCTCTAACAAGCACAGCGGACAGAACGACCCTCGCCACCTGTTGGCAATGTATCTAACTGCACTACCCCAAGTCTGTATAGCGCCATCTATGAATGGCTCTTTAAAACAAATTTATGCAGACTGGCGAATCGCCGGCTTTGGCAATATAGCCCCTGACGGCACGCCTGGCGATTCACCGGCTTTGGTAGTGAATGGGTTAACTGTCCCGTGGAGCGAGCCGATGTCATCACTTTTGGAGCCGCGCCAAACGGAACCCGAAAATCGAATTTCAGAGAACAACACAGAATTGATAGGCGGGACGCTACAAATCCCAAAACGTTGCTCATAAAGCGGTATCTCCAACGGATCTTCGTATTTTTTGTAAAAGAAGAGTGCGCTCGCACAAAGCCGAAAAATCATGTGACCTTGCAATTTTATTTCCTCCTCTTTTCGCTTTGACTCCGAGAGGGCGCGGGGAGGAAAGGGAGCGAGGCCATTTCTCCTCCTCCTCAATTCTCTTCTGCGATAAGATGACGTCAACATTCTCCCTCATTCGCTCCTTTCTTTTCTAGAAATATGGCCATCCGCTCGAGATATGGCTATATGGGTGATGTTTCGTGGTTGATGGTGCCCTGTTGAACACTTCTGCAAGCTTATTTTGTGAAGTCCGAATTTCGGTTCATTATCCCTTTAACTCCTTCCGCAAAGTGAAGCCGGCTCCCAGCTTTGAAACCACATGGAAAGCCTAGCCAAACGGCACCTAGTTTTTCCAATCCCAAAGGAGCGGAGTGAAGCTGATGGATTTCGGCTTCGGTCCCATTGGCTAGCGCGCGTCATAGTTTCAAGGATTGAGGCTCCCATTGGCTGCAGCGCATCAATTTCAATGACCGCCACACCATGGTGCTGTGTGTCCGCACCGTCAGTATGCGGTAACATGAAGCGTCCAAGGTCAGAGTGGCAGAAGAGAGCGCGCAATCTGCCGTCAACGTAAATACGTCGCAGACGAAATAAGGGAGCATGCATGCTTTCGCATTCACAACTCGTTAAGAAGTGCTTAGGTTTTTGAGCCTTTTTGTCGTAAAAGCACATTTTGGACTTAAAACAAACGAAACATAAGTTGTCGGTACTGTTATTAAAGATCAATAATAATAATAATCTAGACGTGAAACTATAATGTCACGTGCCTAGCGGTCAAAAATCTGCAACATTGCGGCTGCTGGGTGGGGGCAACGTTCACTTTCAGCTGCCAGTCTATCGCTCCAGAGTTCAGAGCCGCTCGTTGACGTTTCCTGCCGAGTGCATTTACGTGAAGTTTAGGAGCATTATTTCTTAGCAACAACCGATAGCCTAAGAAAGAAATGTACGACAAATAAAAGTTTATCCTTTCGGTAGTTAGATGTAAAGTTTTCGTCTTGTGTGATTTCGAAAGCGAAACAAAAGAATCCGTTAAGCAGCCAGGCCGGCCAAGCCTATCCAAGTCCATGCTTGGCTCTTGGCTCGCTTGGGCTTATGTGCTTGTGTTTTGATTGTTCGCCGCTACAATTTTGAACATCAAATCAAGTAGGTCTTCTTCTATTACGTATTAACGATGCGTGCATCTGATCAGCTGTTAAATGCTTGTAATACGTACCTTGCTAGCAATTTGATTATAAAGATGCTCAAAGGAGCTTGGAGTTTACCGGCTACTCGGCTGCACCTCTGCTGCACTCTTGCCGGAGCTGGTAGATCTACCTGTCAGTCCTGTCTTCCTCGCCTTTGTGTAGCATCCCCACCGTCTCTAAAGACGCGCGTTGTTCGGTAGCGTTTTAGGGAGTTGCAGGGTGTTTATCTGTAACTGCTCGTTTGTAATTTCAGATGTCACTGGAAGTTCATGTCCCGAACGGGGTCGGACTCCACAGCACCAAAGGCGATGGTATTACACAGCGCGCTCATGTTTTACCTATTTACTCGTTCGAAAAAAAAAAAAAAAAATTAAAACTTTAGCACAAATAACGTGACATTGACTATTTAAAACAATAATCGAAGAAACAAGACATTTGAAGCACCGCCAAATGCAGCATTTAAGCAATATCTAATAAATTTTGCAACAGTGTAGTCGCACATCTGTCAAGTATTCCGAAATCTCGCTTATTTCAAGCATACTCACTACAAAGATTGGTTCTATTATAGAAGTCATTCGATCGTTGGCCAGACTGCTTGACAAGATACATATGCTGGAGACAAGGAAACATGCAGTTCAAGAATACAGAGACTCTGGTAGTATGAATCACCATATGCTTGTTGTTGTGTTCCATCTCTAGTATATGGTATGGGATCTCATTTTTCTTTTTATCACAATAGATCTCAATGAGCACATTGCCCTGGTGGAGGCACAGTGTTCGCTCCTTGAAGAACAGCTAAGGTGTGCGAGGCGAATGCTTACTTTCTCGAGCAGCCTAAGAGCATCCCCGGACCCATACTACGATGGCAATTTTAAAGAGCCATACAGAGTGGACGACGTTGACAGTCACTTCCCGACAATGAAACCGCAGGACAACTTTGCCTCCCAGGTCTGTACACATGTTTTGTTTGCTGGCAAATCGGGGATTGTAGTCAGTTCTCACAAGACACCTCTCCCCTATAACTTTTGTTTTTTGTCAGTTGGTCTTTGCTGCGAGAAACATGAGGGGAAAAGAACATGACTCGGACATTGGCACGAGTTTAGCAGCAAACACAACAATGGTGATTTCAAACTATTTCCTGCCTTTTATGCTCCAAAAGCCCTTCATCTAAGAAACTAACCAACTCTAATAATATCTAATAATATGGAGCTCCGGACTTGGAGCGAAAATAAAGGTTTTCTCTCTCTCTCTCTCTAATAATATTTTGGCACTCTTCAGTCTCTCTAATTGGTCATAGCTGGCCTGCCCCATTTCATATTGTCCATGACAATGTTATGAAAATAAATGTTAATTGCATGGGCTGCTGACAGGCAGTGCTGGTGGCACACAAGGTGTAGTTGAGATAATAATTACTAGATGGTGAAAGAGGTGACTCCTGTCTTGGCTACCTTTTATTCCCAAGGTGTGGCTCACAGGGAAGACCTACTTTTGGGTTGGGAGAGCCCTTATAATTAGATGCTTGTTACTGAGAGCAAGCGTACCTATGCGATTCCTCCATAGGGGGTAGACGCCGCCACCGCAACTGGTTGTCCTAGCAGTATGTTTCCACGAGCCGTTGTCGATCTTCTCCATTTTCTTTGGGTGGTTCTGATCGCAAGCAGCTTTGCCGAGGCACGACCGGCCAGGCTTGGCTCCCCAATTGGGCCACCGTCTTATGTTAGATTATGGTCGTAACCATAGCATGTCCATGTGTTGGTAATCCTTGTGGTTTCCTCCAGCTACTGATGATATTTGGTGGCTTTCTCTTGTATTGAGCTATCAAAGGCACATGTGATTCTTGAATGACACATTTGAAATCTCTGCCATATTTTCACTGCGTTAATGATGTGTTAGGTTCGTGGGAGTGCAAAACCAAGGCCGCCACCGAAAGTCCGGCGGACAAAGTCTACATCGGATGCTGCATTTACACACCGTACCAGCCAGAGGCCTGACCAGTGCAAGCTAAGCCTTGGTGACATACCGTTCATTCTTGGCAAGGCAAGCTACCCCTTTCAGACAGTTGTTTGTGTGTGTTCAAGCAATCTTTTTTTTTTTTTGGCCAAAGCTTGTGACAATATGCTTCCATAAAAGACTTATGCAAGGTTCGGGCTTGCCAAATCTCCTAGAGACAACTGGCATGTAATAAATTCTAGGGTTTGGGAAAATACAAATGCTTCTGGCATGTGTTACCAGGCATTCAAGTTGAGCAGCAATTAATATGAAATTTGTATGCATTAATAAATGCCACAAAGGTCTACACAATAATCTTGGAAGGGTTCAACTTCTCTAGTAAACTTACATATTTTTTTTGTTTCATATTTCTTTTAAGTTTATACATACCAAGATCTTTAGCAAACAGGTGTGCACCCTGTATGGTGCTCTGTTGCTGCGTTTATATCAAATTCAGCTATAGAGTTGTCGGAAAAAGTTGCATACCACTCACGAATGCCTCCTTCATATTTAAGCCTGAACAAGTGTGTTTTTCCGCCCACATATAATTCTGGAAAAATGTGTTTCGCTGCAGTCTTATTGTCCATACCACTCGTGCCTTTCCTCAGAGCACCACGGCCAGCCACTCCTTGCCAGCTAACCTTCAAAATCTGGTCTCGCTCCTCAAGAAGACTCAACCGATTTCCGACACGAGGAAAGGTGCGGCGGCCGATTGCAGGCGCCCCATGCGCTTCGCCAGCGTCGGCTGCCTGCCAAGGAGCAACAGTGACCACAACCTGCACAGGTCCTCTCAACTGGACGGTCCCAGCAAGGATTTGGTGGACCTACTCTGGTGCGTTGTGCCCACCATATTCCCCTTCAGTTTGCATGTCATAACACCTTGCCCAATTTCACTGGTCATCATGTCGATAAATTTGCGCCCCAAATCTTTTCATTTTATGCGTGGAGGCAGCGTTTCCCTGCTCACTCGAGTTATTTTCCGTAATAATCGACCACACTAGTCAGAGTAGTTGGGAAAATAAGAAACATCGGCTAGCACTTAATTTTTATGCATACCAGTCTTTATTAAGACCAACGATTGAGAAGTCACCCTGTCGGTAGGCAAAATGACCACAGTAGATGCTACTAAGGAAACCCTGAAATATAAAAAATAAAATAAAACAAACGAAGCATTGATTTATGTTGCCCTAGGGTGCCATCATGTGCGTTTTCCTTAGGGTGGAGAGATTTGGCCATTTTGTCCCACACTTTTATTTCTTGTTCAGAAGCGCGTGAAAGAGCGTGTCCCTGCACGCGTTTGTGGCGCTGACTGTGCTATGGCGACATTTTGTTTTTGTCGATTTCTTTGTATTTTACCTGTGAGCGCGTGCTGTCGGCATCGGCTACTACAAAGGGTGGCATCACCTTAAACAGAAGGAAATTGAGGCACTTTATGTTGCCCTAAACACACCCTTAGTTGTACTTGCCGAGTTGTGTCGTCAACAGAGCCATTCCCCATGCTTGTGCATTTCACTAACAACAAAGACGATGCCAGTAACTAATCGTCTGCATGCAAACTAATGGAGAGAATGGGAGACGCTGCCGATAAATTTGGCAGAATGCTGATTAGTGCAAGTTAAACATTGTTTTGTGAAACTGCCTTATGTCGATGCAACTATTTGTGGTAGAATTACGAATTTGGCTTTGTACCAGGGTTTCTTCAATTCTGCCCGACTGAGCATTCTTCTGGGTCAACTACATGCGATTTGTAGTGCAATTTGTTGCGCAATTTGTTGCAAGAAGCAAAAATCTGGGACAAAAGGACCAGTTGTCGGTGGCTTCTGTTGGGTGTTGTCATTTGTGCCGTTTCCCTACAAGTGTTCTCAGCTGCAGCAGATGCATGAGAAGCATTAACCAGGCACGACATGGCACCATTTTAATGCCAGGGAAACTCTCTTTTCCTTCCATGTGTACAAACCAGCTTTCATTTTACATTGTTTGTGTGGAAACATTGTATGAAAAATACACCAATGTAGTTCATTGACTTTGCTAAACACATTAATGGTTACTAGCAAACAGTTTGACACATCTTCCTACACATGTTAAGAATATAGACATGACACACCTTTGTGTGCTCTTCAATCTTCTGTAGTTCAAGTTCAAATGAATGTCTATTAAACAGAAATTAGCGGAGATCAGAACAGAGATGTCTTCACCCTAGCGGTGCAATGGCCACCAGACCTGGCATCTTCATTTCTGTATGACGATGAGGCGATGGTTGAAGAGGTCAGCATCCTCATATGGAGTGTTCCAGTCCACCTCTGGCAACGCAAGCCAAGAGCAACCCGAGAACGTTAGTTCTTCGTTGGGAGTTCCCAGCCGGATGTGTCCAATCCATGAGGCTTGAGGGTCTTTCATCTTTCTGTAGTTGTTGTAGCATTGGGTGAAAGGTTCAAGTGCCAAGCTTGGGAAAGTGGCTCATTTGCTGTGCTCTGCATTTTCCCAGGCTACCTGTGCCACAATTGTCAGTTTTCTGCAAGAGCAGAGTAGAGATGTGGTACTTGGTGTTAAAAACATGTGGATGGGGTATTGCGGTTACAGTCAAGGAGAGCAGCTTTTGCGGCAGCTGCAGCGTCACCAAGTCCCCGGCACCAGGCACTCCCTCAAGTGCCAGTCTCGGCGGCTGATAGTCAAAATTGAAGCCAAGCTGAATGACATAAAGAGGCAAGAGGTATTTACCAGTGTTTTCAGCCATACTGAAATAGATACAAGGATGGATGAAACGACGAGTCTATATGCCGATTCAAAGGATGTTTCGTTTGTCTATGCATATTTTTATTTTTCCATTGTTGCTCGACTGTACCAACACACTTGTTTTCAACTTCAGCGTGTTCATTTTAAGATTCAATCGCTTGAAAGTTGGCCTCAGTTTCTCCACGTGCTTCGGTTAACAAATGGCCCAGTTACAATTCGTACACGGGTCGGAATTGGTAGAGCACACTTTACTTGTTTTTTCAGCGGCTCTTATGGCAGGCCTGGACGTTCTGTTCAGCAGAAACAGTGCCACTTGTCAGTGCGGCTTCTCCTTTTCTTCGTATTTTATGAGGACAGTGAAATGCAGATTCCAGGATATTGTCAAAAGTTTGCACATCCCACCAGTGTCTTGAAGGCTGGTTACTGTATTGATACTAGGGCCATACACCTGCAGTAATTTTCTTTTATGCACTGCAGTTGCAGGGCGTTGCAGTGGAGGAAAGAACTCGCACATTACCAACAAGGAAAAACGAGGTCACAAAGCCACGAGCGTCGACATTCGCTGGCACCAGCGGCGATTTCAACCGCATCTTTCTGAGAGAGCTGAAGAAAATACAAGGACGTCTTGAAGAACAAGTATAAAAAAGAAACTGCTGCACATTCATTGCGGGAAATTGTGCTTGAACAAAGAAGTGTAACCTGAACTGTGCAGATCCAATGAAAGTGCCTGTCACATTAGCACAAAGATTTAGAGCCATTCAAATGAATGTCTGCATTGAAAAGTGGTGCTTCGAACTGCTGCCTCATACACCCACACCCCCAACAAAAAAAAAAAGCATTAGTACATTGAATTGACGAGTCTTATGATACGTGCCATGTTCTACCATACCGTCTTGATCATGATGTAGAACACCCGAGACTGTGGTAAAAGCTGGAAAACTTGGTCGAAAATAAAAGACGGGAAAAGAATGTCTCAAACTCAGCTACTGCGTTTATTTCCTCAAAGCCACAACCTAGCTAATAACCGACCTTTGACATCACAAAGTGAACCTTTGTTATAACAAAGTCAACCTTTGTTATACGTACAATCCTACCCACACTGACGTTCACTTGACCTGTAAACAGTGACCTCAATCCCAAGCTGAAACCTTGGGACCTTGAAGAAAACAATCGCACCGACCCGCTTCCTTTTGAGCCGGAGTCTGAAAGGGCTGTGCTTTATCTAAACGAGGGCTGATATGTCCTCCAACTGAACTCTTGCCCGCAAAATGACTCATTGCATGTTCACCTACAACTGTTCAAATAACATTTGATGAAACTTCTTGGAACTACTTCCAAGTTGCATCGAAGCATGGCTGATACAGTTACCGATGAATTTGATACGAATTGGCTCTCTTATGAGCCTTTTAGTGTTGTTACGCTTTATGTGCACAATGTCCGTTTGCGACTAAAGTGCCGTACAAATGTTGCGCTCACTAATGTGTTTAGCAATCTCTAAACTGGGTGCGTTTACTTTTACATTTGTTTTGTGCTCTACCAATGTACCATTTACACACCTTGCCGTTTGACCCCCATACTTGAAACCGCATTCCAATGGTATTTTATAGGCCATCCCTTCCTTGCAATCAACCGACTTACCACAATGCGCTTTCTGACATACTTTCTGACTCGTCTGAAACGTTGTCAAACGGTTCAGTTTAAAGTCGGACCTAAACGCTACATCTATTCCAAATTTCTTTGCACATGCTTTAAGGTTGTGAGAAATTGTGTGAAAATACAGAATAACTGCATAACGCTTTTTCGCTTCCTTTTCTGCTTGTTGTTTAGCCCTTTGCTGCAATTCCAATTGTCTTTTTATGAACTCACTGTCATAGCCTACATCTTCTAACCTTGACCACTGCCTCTCAACCGCACAACCCATAAAATGTGCACACGACTTGTCCAAAGCGTTGCTGATTAGAGATTTAAGTACACCTGCTTTTACTGATTTAGCATGACAACTTTTCCTGCTCAAAACAAGTTTTGCGGCCATTTTTCCATACTTCCAACATGAACCCCCTCCACGTGAATGCATAGGTCAACAAATTGAACGACGACCATAAAAGGAAGCGAAAAAGCATTATGCGGTTATTCTGTATTTTCACACAATTTCTCACAGCCTTAAAGCATGTGCAAAGAAATTTGGGACAGATGTAGCGTTTAGGTCCAACCTTAAACTGACCCGTTGGACACCGTTTCAGACGAGTCAGAAAGTATGTTAGAAAGTGCACCGTGACAAGTCGGTTGGTTGCAAGGAAAGGGGGGGGTCTATGAAATACCACTGGAATACGGTTTCAAGTTATGTGGGTCAAACAATAAGGTGTGTAAATAATAGATTCATAGAGCACAAAAGAAATGTAAAAATAAACGCACCCAATTCAGAGATTGTTAGACACATTAGTGAGTGCAAAGATTGTAAGGTACTTTGGTCGCAAACTGACTTGTGCACAGAGAGAGTAACAACACTAAGAGGCTTATAAGAGAGACAATTCATATCCAATCCATCGGCAACTGTATCAGCCATGCTTTGATGCAACTCGGAAGTAGTTCCAAGAAGTTGCTTAAGTTAATATTTTGGTTTTTTTTTTTTAGCAGTTGTAGGTTAACATGCAATGAGTCATTTTGCGGGCAAGGGTTCAGTTGGAGGACATATCAGTCCTCATTTAAATAAAGCACAGCCCTTTCAGACAACGGCTGGAAAGGAGGCAGGGTCGGTGGGATTGTTTTGTTCAAGGTCCCAAGGTTTCAGTTTGGGATCGAGGTCACTGTTTATGCGTCAAGTGATTGCCAGTGTGGGTAGGATTGTATAACAAAGGTTGGCTTTGTGACATCTGTGATTAAGTTGTGGATAGATAAGGCTTTGAGGAAATGAATGCAATAGCTGAGTTTGAGACATTCTTTTCCCCCGTCTTTTTTCTTCGACAAAGTTCCTCAGCTTTTACCAGTCTCGGGTATTCTACATCATGATCAACATCCCCCAGCTCGCGTGCGCACTCACTGTTTTTTCATTGATACTGTCTTGCTATGCCAAGCTTACACTCCCAGCAAAACAAATGCATCATTTTGGAGATTGGCAAGTTTTGTGATATGTGCCATGCTTGAAATCACTGTGAGCCATCGTCTATTGTAACAGCATTTTATTGAGTGTGTCATAGAGGCTCACAAAAGTGTATAATACATAAGATTAGACTTGGAAGCTTTAAACATTCCATGACCAGAAATATTTTTGTTGGTGACCAACTTTTTAAGCTATAAAAGTAACATATTATGCTGTCTTTGAGAAGTCTTCGTCGGCAGCGTAAATAAAAGTACAACATGCCTTCCTAAGGGTGGTCTTTGTTCACAACAGACACAACGGTCTTGCCTCTTGCATGTCCTTCTTTGATCTTGCGGTATGCACCAGGCACATCTTCGAAAGGAAAAGTGTCTTGGATTACAGGAGCAATCTGTAAGGTAAACATGCTTCAACTTTGTGCACTTGATAAGCATTACCATTAACCTAATTTGACTGACCTGCTGAACTTGAGGCATTATAAGTTGGAAACTTAAACCCTCTTTTAAAAAAAGGAACAATGAATTGCAACAAGCTGGCCTTCACTGCTTGCTCATTTAACACCAAAAGTTTGAAAGGTGAAATAATTCCCTGTTGAAGCAAACATGCAAACCTGACATTCTGTGCCATAGTTGCAGTCGGTTGCCGTGGATCATGGGAATACGTATATGATGCAGTAACTACAGTTCTGTGTGCCCACAAAAAATAATGCCACCTATACAGTAAGGTATCATATTTCTGCACTTGTTCAAAGATGAATTTTGTCCTTCGAAATTTCCGAGCCTTTCAAGCCAACTGCGGTGCTCTGCCATAGTGCACTGGGGCAAAGCAGTGAGGCTAGTTGCCAGTAGCACAGCATGAGCACCATAACATGGAGGCACACATGGTTGATATGATAATCGTGTGATGTTATCAGGAGATTATCTCTGTCTTATCATAACCACCCCATCCAGTCATTTTGTGAAGCATCTCTGGTCACATAGGTGTCGGCTGGTCATACAAGCTGACCGAGCATCCAAGGAAGAGGGTCATTCCGCAGCAAGTGCAGCTGATGAGTGAATATAAGCTAAAATTAGTAGGGAGACTTCAAAAGAAGTTTTACATAAATTTACTTCTCTAGATTGACCCTTACTACATAAGGGTCAATCTATCTCCAAGTAAAAATGGTACTATAGTCGGTGACCGGCTAAGAACCCCGTATACATGCTGCTGCAAAGTGGTATACAAGGCAGAAAGCTCGTAATCAAGGCAATGCATCTTAGCCTGTCACTGATAGGACCATTTACAGGTCCTGTGCACATGTATTACTCTTGGTGGTATCTTAAATGTAAATACTGTGCAGTGTTTACACCTAAAGAGACCAGAAAAAATTAGCTAGAATTTTAAATAAATAAATATTATTATACAGTGTTTCTACCCCCTTGTTTATGGTTAGAAAGACCACAGGATCTTATTCTTGAGATGCAGTAAAAAATGGCCTAGTAGCGCATAAATTGACGTCCTAATTACTGTTTCATGCGCCCTTTAGATATAGGGCAATTGGAATGCCCTCTTACCTTGCCAAGCTCAACTAAGCCACTTATCTCTTCTAATGCATTTGCATTGGGACAGAAGAAGGCCCACCGCACACTCCGTGCTTCCATCAGTTCCTGCACATTAAGCAGAAACATGATACGTAAAAAGATAAGATGTACCCTTCACGGCAAACTCTGGAACAATCCTCAGGAGCCATACTTTAGGAACGCAGAAATTAATTTTCAGCTTATACATCACAGCAAACATCTCTGAATTGCATCTCCCCAGAGGTGCCAATAAACCAGGTCCTAACAATGCAGTGAAGATGCAGTTGAATTGAGGCGATGAAGAAAAGGACAAAAAGGACAGTTTGGGAGCAATTCTAATGAATACACAGAAACAAGCTTTCATCTTTGACAAGTGCTGGCTGCACATGTAGCCATGCTAGGAACACCAAGCTTTTTAGCAATTTAAAAACATTCGTTACAAAATTCCTTTTATAGCATACTTGACCCTTTCACTGCTCTGTCAATTAATTCCTTCAGTGCTGCTGGATAACTCTGAATGGATTTCTTTTCTGACCTTGACGGTGATTTGAAGTGCCTGGAGAGCAGACGTTGCCAGGCCAGGGAGAAGGCCAAGGTCATCAGTATTTTTTAAAACCGGAGAGACAACGGTCACACAGGTTGCAAGTCGGCCCTTGCGTAGCAGCTCTGTGGCAAGTGGCCTCTTCTGCGTTCCCACGCAGTCAAGAATGAAGTCAAATCTGTCGTACAAAAAACAAGATTGTGCTAAGCATGATCAGTTCTTGGTAGAACAGCCCATGTTTCCCTCCGCAGTTCTACTACACACCGTGGGCTCTGTCGTAGCTGCTGCTCGAAATCTGGCGAAGTGTAGTCCACAACATAGTCTGCTCCAAGACTGGATAGCAGCTCTACGGCGTCGGAACTACATGTTGTCGTCACGCTCGCATTCCAGGCTTTGAGGAGCTGAACCGAAAACAAGGGTTGAGTCGTATGACAGTGCGCAGCTAAGCAAACCAGAAAAAGTAGCGCATATCAACTTCAAACAGCAACGCAAAATGCACAATGGAAATCCCTTTAACCTAAGGAATGATGAAACCCCGAGACCAAACAAATGACAGATCATACGGGACTGTAGGGTCGGGCTGTCAATGGCAGTGGGACGAGTAGATTTTGTGTCCATCTGCTATCTAAGCTAGATGTCTAATGAAATCTGCAGCGTGTCTCCCTCAAAAATATGCAGTGCTTTTTTCATCGCAAAAATAAACCATGCACTGATGAATCCTCATTCTCTGCTCGGACCGCTAGCAATAATGTAGCACTAGCGGTCCGAACCAGGTGGCAAAGTTTCAGCACAAACTGTCATCTTATTAAAAAAAGTTTAAAGTTATTCTCCGAAGATTTCAATGGGAAAATGGGGCCCATTTTCGCCTGTTTTTGGTAACCGGCATTACAGAGCCCTACGCATTCGAAAGCCCTGCTAGCCACTATTTTTCCTATGAAAATTTCAGAAAATCGTGTACAACTTTTGAATAAAGTAACGGTTGGTGCTGAAACTTTGGCATCTGGTTGAGACCGCTAGTACTACATTTGGGCAGAGAATGAGCGTTCGGCGATGCACAGTTTATTTTTTCAGTGAAAAAAGGACCTGTAAATTTTTCAGGGGGCCAAGTTGTTATAGCATTTTAACTGTCTTTATGCAATGCAGATCCTTTAGCCTCCTGGGTCTTTGCATACTCTGAGTACACAGAAGCTTACCTGAATGGCAAAGGTTCCAATCCCACCAGAACCTCCTAGGATCAGGCACCTAGAAAGGACAAAGTAAACAGACGTACCATAAAATACCGAGCAAGTGGCCATTGAAAAGTAGGCAATAATCACGAAAGAATGGGAAGGGGCATTTGTCAAGTCTGAGAACAGAAATGCAGAAGTGGCACATGGCAAGATAGGCCGTTTGATCTGGCAGAACCCCCAATATTTTTAAGTAGTCGCCCCGCTCTCATCAAGCCTCCTCCATGCCGGTGTTCTTGTGACAAGCTTCGCTGCTTCACACCGACGCCCACAGGTAAAACTTGACCACTCTGGACCGGCTTCTCAGAGAAAGAGCTGACACAGAGGAGCATCTCGGTCAGCTCAGCTGCTGGATTGATCGGTTTCCTGCTCAAAGGGACACTGACACCCCCAAAATGCTTGTCTTATTTTTCGCCAGGCGATTCAGTATGATGTCAGAGGACAACCCAATCAATATTTTGCTACAGCGTCACATATATTTTTAATAAAAGTAAAAAAACTTGTCCAAACCGAAACTGGACTGGGGAGGAAGAAGAAATATAGAGGAGGAGAAAGTTGGCGAAAGGCTGTGCAACTATTTTTTTCTTCAATCAACGTATTTGTGGCTTTTTAGTAGCCACCAAAAGTGGGTATCATATTCCTTTTCTAATTTCTATATTGAGTGTGCAGTGATGTGATTGGCCTAAGCCGTTTTGGAGCACCTTTCGGAGCAGCCAAAACAGTGTTTCGGAGCAGCAAAAGTGGCCTTTGGAGCAGCCATAACAGTGCTTTGGAGCAGCAAAAGTGGCTTTTGGAGGAGCCAAAACAGTGTTTCGGAGCAGCAAAAGTGGCCTTTGGAGCAGCCATAACAGTGCTTTGGAGCAGCAAAAGTGGCTTTTGGAGGAGCCAAAACAGTGTTTCGGAGCACCAAAAGTGGCTTTTAGAGCAGATTTTCTTAGGAAAATAAAAATATTTGTTTTAAGTGGTGGACAAACGAAGGGCACTTTGCTCGCCGCAATAAACAAATTATGGTCAAGCTAGGCCACCTGGGAGTCTTTCAACATGTAACTGAAATGCCAATGATATGACACATTTTGCAATGCTTCAGTTAAAGGGTACATATATATGTACACCCGCCGGCAATATGAAGGTGAACACCTTACCTCGTTTTTTGCCTGTTTTACGGCTCCCTAAAGCTATATTAACTCTCAACGTCTCACAAATGGTGCGTGGCTTCGGGGTCTAAACTTTGCGTTCTAGCCCTCTTCTGAAACAGAACTTGTACCAAAACTTGCAGGAGCGTCAAAAAAAAGAGGGCTGTTCACTTTCATATCGCTCACGGGTGTACCCGCTTTAGATAAATAAGAACAAAACTGCACATATTCAAATTTATTTGAAAATGATTAGTTTAGTAGTAAATAACACAGCAGTAGGTTGACTAGCTATATAATATAACGGAAGCAGTCTCCGACTGATGAAACACGTAACTACTGCAGAGCAATGCGAATTTGTACACAAGACAAAGGTGCATTACGAGTCTTAGCAGGTGCTTTTCTTTTCGCTTTACGAAACTTTCTGCAAGGCTGCTCCAAGCCTCGCTTTGCCTTCGGAATGAATGTCAACTCTCAATCTCTCCAAAGAGACATTGAGACATCCCAGAGATGTACAGTGCTGTAGGCGTTGCCGAGCAATTCCGAAAAACCGCTTGCTACCGATTACTGGTTCCCGACGTGTTCGCTTTTCGTCAAGAGTAAGCAAACGTAAAACAATGGATTGCAAGCGTTTCGGCTGGTGCCTCTGTCGTGCAATCACGTTGGCATGCACATGAGGGCAACTTCGGCAGGCCTGCAATTGCACATGCTTCGTCGCGCGAGCGGAGATGGCTGTTCGACCGAAACCGAAACCATGTCACTCCGATCCTTTCCTCCTCCTCCTCCTCCTCCTCCTCCTCCTCCTCCCCCCCCCCCCCCCCCCCCCCAACTGGCTCCCAAAACTGTAAACAAAATGTAACTGTCCAGCACACGACAAAAAAGTCCAGCGGCACGTGCTTACAAGGCGGGCAAACCGGCTACATGCTAAACACACACAAAAAACAGAACCTGAGCGCATTGATGCAAGACATCGCGAGCCAGGGTCAAAATGTTCTTCGAGCGCTTTGTGCAACGACTGAACTCGAGACAAACAAGCACGTTGTTCGTGTTCAGCGTGCATACATTGCCTTCTTTGTATTAGATCACTTCTCCTCACCAACTTTCTTTCGCGGGAGATTTTTCACATACCGGGGTCCCTCTCGAAAGAAAGCCTACCGAGAGAAACCTAAGTAATCAATACTTTGGCACAGCAAACGGAGGTAAAGAGGTGTTCTTGCAGTAGCGTATGATTTAAACAAGAACGGGAATGTTGATGAACATGCGGCAGTCCTTACATTTCAGTTTAGAAAGCGCCACATCTGCAGCGACGTGGGGACGGCAACACCCGACGTTGCGCGACCACGGTGACTGGAAGGCAGAGACCAAATATAGTTTTCTCAAGGCCGTTGTTTTCGGGAGCGAGTGCTCCAGCTCACAAAGTAATTCCCGCTGCGCAAAAACTTCCCAGTAAGACGGCATGGCTGGCCTGGTACCCGGTACGCTACCGTCGGAGCATCCACACATGGCCGCGTCTATCTTTGAAAATTTTTTAAAAAGACGCGAGACGAGACTTACGAGACGACGAGCGCGAGAAACGAGAGACGGGGGGAAAAACCATGAAAGATCGAATGCACATTGATGCAGGGTACTTTGTGTCGGGCGGCCGCTTGCGCCACCTAACTCACGCATGCTCAATTACGGTACTCAGTTTAGTTTCGGTTTGGAAAGGCGACCAAAATCGGTCCTTTGGCGCAGGCTTGGCGCAGATTACCCATATTTTGGCAAAATGTAGCAGGATGTAGCAGGGTTAGCCCCTTGGCGCAGTTTGGCGCTATTGGCGCAGCAATCACGTCACTGAGTGTGTGCCTTCGATGACCCACGACTATGATTATATTTGGTGAATAACAGGTTGAAGTTGAGCTAGTTGGTACATAATTTAGGTAAATGGTCAGCTAGAACGAGAGGGACAAACACAGACAGAGAGAAACAGAGACATACACACCGCTGACTATCAACTAAGACTTTATATTTCTTCTTCATCACTGTGACCCACAGTTTCACACTTAAAGTAATGCCAATAAATGACCCTAAATCCTTACAGTACACTACTAAATCAAAAGACTGAATAAATAAAATTAAATTAAAATTGAAACTAATTAATTACATTAAATTATTAATTATTAATTTTGGTCCAACCCACAGACCACCGCCGAAACATATCCCTCCTAGTCCCTTTCACGGCGCCGTGTTGAAACTAATTAATTACATTAAATTATTAATTATTAATTTTGGTCCAACCCACAGACCACCGCCGAAACATATCCCTCCTAGTCCCTTTCACGGCGCCGTGTGTGGCACGGCGCCGTGAAAGGGACTAGGAGGGATATGTTTCGGCGGTGGTCTGTGGGTTGGACCAAAATTAATAATTAATAATTTAATGTAATTAATTAGTTTCAATTTTAATTTAATTTTATTTATTCAGTCTTTTGATTTAGTAGTGTACTGTAAGGATTTAGGGTCATTTATTGGCATTACTTTAAGTGTGAAACTGTGGGTCACAGTGATGAAGAAGAAATATAAAGTCTTAGTTGATAGTCAGCGGTGTGTATGTCTCTGTTTTTCTCTGTCTGTGTTTGTCCCTCTCGTTCTAGCTGACCATTTACCTAAACCTATACTTGGTGGTTGTGTCTAAACCATAGAAAATGGCACATGACCATGGAGAAGAGAGTGAGCGCAACTCAAACCGGCCAGTTCTCGATCGGAGGTTTTCGGTTGGAAAGAAAACAAATTTCGAACCGCAAATTGGGTTCTGGGTAGTTGGGCTCTCATGTCATGTACAAATAAAAACCTTGGTGAGCATAAATACCCCGTCCGTGTCCCTTTAGGGAGAACCTGAAGAGGTTCTTGAAAAAAATGAGTTAGAAATGATTTCTAGCATATTTTTGTCCTGTGAATCTGAATATCACGAGCATTTGACCCAAACATATCAATAGATGTAAAAATAAACGAAAAACCAGCCACTAGGTGCGACGTCATACCGAGAGCTTTCAGCTACCTTGTGCGTGTTGTTTGGGAGAGAATACAAGCAGCGCATCTGTTTGTGTAAGGCACACGGAAATGTTGAGACTTTTGTACAATATGTCGAGATTCCCTCGCACCGAAACGTGACAGGAAGGAGGGGCTTCAGTGCTATTTTGAAAGCGATGTTGTGGCTACTTGGTGTATCAATCTGAAATATAACTTCAATATTCGTAATCCTAGAGGTCAAATAAAGGCAATATAAGTTTTTTTTCTCAAATACAGAACCGCTTCAGTTTCTCTTTCAAAAGCGACTAAAAAGAAAAAAAAAAATTTAAACAGTCCGGTTGAGACATGCATGTCAAAAAACAAATTTGACATGAAAAACATTTTTTAGAGCAATATTGATGGGGCGCGATTTATTTTAGTTGCGTCTGAATTAAGCGTGCAAAGTCCATGATGTCATGGAGTGGTCATACACTTCTTCCACCTTAACGAGATGGTCATACACTCTCTCCACCTCAACGTGATGGCCACAGCTTCTCATTGAAACAGCTTCTCTCCTCCACGTGCCCAACCCAAAATGCTGAGAGGAAGCAAGAGGAAAGGAGGTAACTACCAACTAAATTGCGTCTAGTGCCGTCAATAGTGCTCTAATTTTTTTTCCCGCGTAAAATGTGTTTTTTAAAATGGGTGTTTTAACCAGACTGTTAAAAAACAAACATTTTTTTTCTTTCAATGGCCCTTTAAGAACAAGAATGACCCTTTCATATGGAGAGGTTAAAAAAACATGGTAGGACTTGGACTTTCGTCAATCTGTGTTATTGCTTGTCTTACCTAGCAACATCGATATGTTAGGCTAGGTGGTGCAAGCTGCCACCCGTTACAAAGGGTGTAGCCATTACAATCCATCCATCCATGTCCTTTGCTCATATTTCAATTGTTTCCAAAGGAGGCGGTCATTGTGACTTGGGCACATGCTGGGTGTTTTACGTTAGGCACAATGCTTGCACAGCACCAGCAATGACAAGTGAGGCGAACGAGATTCTGCTTGCCGTTTGTTTGAAGCGGTCTGTCTGCTCACATTCCCAACGGTGCGGATGGCTGCCCATGCAGTGAGGCCAGCATAGGGAATGGCCGCACTCTCCAGATGGGACAATGTCTTGGGCTTCTTAGAGATCTGCTAACAAAATGGCACTGATCATGACAGGGGCATTCAGGGCAGAGTGAAGCACAGCGTACAATATTCGAAGATGCAGCGATGTACTCGGCGTGTGAGCCTTGGTGGCCAGCCATGGTAGCTCCCCAGACCTGCAATTAGAAAGAGGAGAATGTTGTGCAAGATGTATTTGTTACTGGTGGACTCTAGTGATCATGTAGAAACCAAGTATATTTGATGACAGAATTTACAGGACATTACAACAAATACCCTTTTATTGGAATTTTAAAGCTGACTTCGAGGATATGCACTCACGACGAGTACTTTAGTTACTACAACATAACAGTCTTATCTCAAGGTGTGCAACCAGGGTGTCGAACTGAAGCTCATTTCGGTTACGGTTCAGACATATAGGTTCCGTACGGGTTCAGCTCTGGAACAAAAAAAAAATGGTTAAAAGCAGTTTGCATCGGTTCATAATGGTTCTGATAAAAAGCAAATGTGTAATGTAGATAAAGTTTTTAATCTTTGAAGTGGTACAGAAAGAAAGAATTGAAAACAAGATTGTTACAAAATCCCCCCCCCCCCCCCCACACACACACACACACACTGACATCAGGGACAGTTTAACAAGAATTGTCTTTGCAACAACAGCAATTAAATGAATCAACTATGAGAACGACTACGGGCCATTTAAAAATGGATGGAAATAGGCAAGTTTAAAGCAGTGCTTCTGCCTAAGTGCTCTAATTGCCGTAAACCTGTATTTTTAATTTTTTTTTGCAGTAGTTACAGAATAGGAGGCAAACACACACTAATTTACGGCTTAACGTTTTAGGCTTTCTGGAGTGCAGCCAGAATAACAACTCCTCTGTGGCTTGCCCCCTTATCATAAAATTGTGTTTTCTACTGTGATAACTCTGTAAAATGCGAGCCCCTATTTTTAAGCAGATTAGACATCATTTATTTTCCGAAACAACATGCAATATTTAGGTCACAAAGACTTCTGTTCCTTTGACAGCGTTCATACACCGAGCTCATTTCACTGTAATGTTTATGTTAAAGGACCAAAGAAAGAGGACGTTGTCAAGAAATGCCTGGCTTCAAGCGGGTTTGTTGACAAGACAAAATGTACTTCAACCCAAAAAGGCCCCCTCCACACAGACTTGCGTGGCAGGTAGAGCAAGAGTGATGACAGCAAAAAAATGCAGCTCGGAAACCACAATCTGTCATTCTGCCAAAATTGTAGGATATCTGTATCTTTGGTTATTCAAGGCACACGCTCAAAGCTGTCCAGGAGACTCTATTTCCTGAAACTTTGGCAAAAAATTGATAACGCTTGGTGGCCGCCCTCCAGTTCCTTGAAAAGAGCATCAAGATCGAGGCCAGCAAGTTTTTTTTTCGGAAGCTCTTGATGTTTCAAGCAGCTCTGACTGGGCACCCAACTTCTTCTATGCAAGCAGCAAATGCCACTTTGCTCCGCATCTTTCTTCACTCGTTAGAACTACATGGTAGCAAGGGTCCAAGAGGGCCGCACAGAATACGTCGTTCCCGAGCATGAGCTTTTCTCGCTGCTTCATTGCCGTAGCAAGTAGGCTCGTGAGGGGGTGTCAATCTGGGTGCTTTCGATTCGACACATCACCCATGTTCCGTAGAAGTCTCCCATTGTGAGTTGATCCTTTGGAAGCTACAGTCGCCTTTTCGGCTGGCTGCAAGGAGTAACTACATTGCTCACTGACTGCCAGTCGTGTTCGCCAAGATGGAGATTGTGGTTATCAGCGAGAAAATCATTGCAAAATTCCTTCAGTTAAAGCGGCCGCTGCATCATAGCAACAGTCGACATTCACCTTGTAATGCAATTGAATTTTTTTTTTTTTTTTCAGTTTGAGTTTTTAGTGCATTGACAGTGCAGTTTGTGACATCATTTTTCTGACTTGTTTCACACTTTTTTACAACCTTGTCAGCTGCTTTGGACTTAAAAACGACGTGAACGGCGAGCTGCAAAGTGTGTGCAGCACAACGCATGCCTTAAGCGCGAAACACATGTACAACGAAACCACCCGATCCGACGTCCGACCACGCAATACGAAGGTCGGAGGCGAGGGTTTTCAATGCTCTCCGATGCTACGAACACCCTCTCCCCCGAAGGTCATTCCGGCAGTCCGCACGTCGGATCGGACGGTTTCGTCATACATGTGTTTTGCGCTTTAAAGCAGAGTCTGTCCAGCATCTGAAAGGGCAACGACCCCTTCGAGCTCATCAAAGTGGGAGGCATCTGTTGAGGAGTCACTGGGCGTGTTGATGTCTTCATCTGCTGAATCTGACTGACCCGATAATGTAGTGGTGGGAATTCCAGGTTCTACAAAAGTGCAACTGCCTTAACCATGACCAGCTTTGTTGTTCGTCGTTACGCTGTAGATCAGCCCCGGGTCGACATCATATCTTGAAAGTACCTCAAGAACTTCCCTCATCAAGTTCCCCACAGTATGTTGGTCAAGCATAACCTTTATAGCAAGTGTTTGCAGGCGAAGTTTACCTTGTTACTGGAGCGTACTGGACATTAATGCCAAGAACTGAGCATTCCAGACGCATAGTAGAGTCATTCTTCAGTGACAGAAGCCGCATCTTCAAAGATTCGGAGACCTCCTTCCTAGCAATATTGGCTTTTTCTGCCACTTTCAGTCGCTTTCGGCACTTACAGTGAGGCTCTGCATGATGCCGTTCAACGCGAGATCAATGATATTTTGAAACTCAGAATTATTCATTAAGCGGAATGGCCGGCCGTTTGTGGCGGCAATCTCCACACATGCATTCCATAACTCTAATCCCCGTTATGTCTACACTTATACTTGTGCCACGGTGAACGACAGAGTGTAAGCCTGGCTGATGCTTTCCTGGGCCTGTTTGCTCTAAGCCGGTTAACCTTAACCAAGGTAAAAGGTTAACCGCATTTCCTTACGAGGGAGAATTTTAGGTCACGTGACCGGCAGAGTAAGGACGACGGGGAAACACAGCAGTGCCCCTGCGAGCGAGCGCCGCTCGCTTTGGAATTAATATGTCATAGTAGCTGCAATATCGGGTGCTTTAGTCGGCAATGAATGGTGCAGAAGGCTTTCGCTTTGCCTTACCTCACTTATAAAAAAAAAGCGTGAGCAATGACCTCGCCACATTTTGTAGATATTCTTTTGACTCTGGCCAGAATTCCTAAGCCTAAATGAATGTGATAATTGTTGGTATGGCAACGTTTTTGGAATACTATAGTGGACTGCCTTGACTATATCGGCCAGGTATGGATAGCACACAGAAGCAGGCAGCGTCCCAATAGACCTTTTGCTAAATTTCCCAAGCACGAAGGTGCACGCTATGAGTGTAGCTACACGCACTGCACATGCTGGCATCTGCAGTAGTAACTGTTCTAAAGCAAAAGCCTAAAACAAATTTTGCCTTGTATGTGCGTTCGTCAAAGCCTTATCATGATTATTTACTTTGAATTGAATGAATTGAATTGAATTGGTTTTATTTAGACACTAGGTCAAGGGTAACAGGACAAAAGTCAGATTATCTCTGCCTGACGTGGTCCTATCACCCGTTTACAATTTATACGGAAGTATAAATTGTAAACGGGTTTTATACGGGGAAGGCCAGCGTGCGCAAAGCACAGAATCCACTTTCAGCATTCTCCTCAGTGCTTGGGTAATTTAGTAATAGGTCTATTTTCACTGGAGCCAAATTACATGGTTTTGAATTTATAATGGTGTTATATACAGTTCTTACATGTGGGTCAACCATGCTGCCGGCATACCGCCCGCCTTTCACTGCTCACTCCTTCCTCATTGTTTCTAGGACTGAACTTCGTCGTCCACTTTCGAACTTGGAAGGAATTTTCCACGAGGCTCGTCTTCAATTTAGACAGCCAAACATTTAGAAATTTTCCGAACAAGGGTTAATTTAGTTTTCCCTTACCCAATATCGGTACCACGAGCAACAAAAAGTGTTTCTTAAGCTCAAATGTATACCGCGCTGCTTCGCGAAAACCCGGTAATGCATCCTTAGGTCTTCCCTTTTCGGAAACTTTTCCACGAAAGCAACTCATATTTGCTACAACCAGTAGGTGACACCTGCTATCTGCCCCATAATAAAACATGGAGCTATCGCTCATCCAGCCCTCGTCAAGCTTGGCTAGGTACTTGTAGGTACCTTGTAGGGAAGGGCGGTTAACTTTCTACCGTGGTTAAGGTTAACCGGCTTCGAGCAAACGGGCCCTGGTGCACAGCAGGAGTCGCAGCCGTTGATGGTAGACGGTTCAGAGGAGCTGCTGCATGGCCACTTTTCATGGAGAAGCAAATCATACACGGTCTGGCAACGTCGCTGCACACAGCATTCAAGTTGGCAGCATGCTCTCCCGATAGCCACCAACCACGTTTTTCTATTTGGCAAATGGACTGCTTTTTGTCCGAGTCGAGCTTGATATACTTTCGCACAGGATTATGCTTGGGGTGCACAATCTTCACTAACAATCGTTGGTGCCTATAGACCACCACGCGGGCTTGATGTCATGGATTTGCGGCGGCGCTGCGATCGCGCCGGAATCAGATGGTGTGGGCAGAAGGGCGCACGTTTTGCATGGGCGTCATAGCATTTCAGCATGCCGCAAAGCTGTGTAGCCATTAATTGCACCAAAAGGTACAGCCAAAGTAGCAGGGTGAGTTTCCACAAGTTCCCAGCAGACTCTGAAAGGCACAGAAGGTGGATAATATCCGTAGATAGAAAAGAATGGTCGCCTCGCACGGACGATTGTTTGCGCGGCAACAATGTTATGAAGGCAAGCGTGGATTCCATTTTAATATCCGTCCCAAACTTGCTTATGTGCAGGAAAACCGTCGTCTGATCGAGATCGCCCAGATTTTGTCCACACGGTGTTTGCACACAAAGCACCAGCCAAGTGCTCGTCGGTGGCTCGCTACGCCTGTGCTACCAAGCGAAAGGAGATCAGCAGCAGAACGGACAAAGCTTTACCACTTGTCGTGCCTTGTGGTCATGAGGGTAAGAAAAATATCATACCTTGCCTTCAAGGACACTGTGCGTATTTAACAAATAAGTAAATGCACTTCCACAGACCCACAGTCTGCTAATCTTGCCAGCAGTGCGGAAACCGGCTCGAAGAGATTGTGGGCCTCGAGAGGCTTGTACGCCAGCACAGTGTTCGCCATGAATTGGCTTGGCAAAAAACCTCAATAAACGACGACGTGAGACATCTATGTTGGTGACAGCAACTTCATGTCGGAACTCCTTGTTTACGACATACGGATTGTCAAAGGCAACGCCATCCATGCACAGTTTGTCTCGATACCGCCGCCGTTGAGGCTCGAGGCTCAGGTAGCAAGCTTAAATAGTCGGGCATAACATACGACATACGTTGGCAGGAAATATGATGCACAAATAAATCTAGAGGCGTTTCTAGAATGTCAACAGCGAGCGTGTGCCACACAAAGCAATGGCGAAAACCCAGAGAGCCTGGCCGCTTCTGCCCACATAGCTTCTGCACATGCACGACCTTCCGGCCATGTTGGTAAACAGAGCCGCGCCGCGTGTCAATATATACATAAAAAAAAGTATGGAAAACTTTTGCTGGTGCTGGACTAACCTGCGCTGTGCCACTGGGCACAATACAATCTTATAGAAGAGTGAAATAGAAGTAAGCAGACGATCGTTGGCTTACATTCACTAGGTACTGGGGTCACTTTGTCGCAGACACCGACTTGCTGCTCTTGAACTTAGAGTTCCGAAGAAGCTGATGGCCTTTCGTCGACGATGCAATCACTGCGGTGACAGCAGGTTCTCAGAGGCACGATGGGCAGGAGTCGAGCTTGAGCACCACTCCACATCTCGCACTGTTGTTATGACTAAAACTACAAACAGCCAACGGAGCCACCACCGGCTCGGCCAGGCAAAAAGGGGTTACCGTACAGACCGGGCCTTCTTGCTTCTTCCCAAAGTTCCTTCACTTTGAGCATGCGGTACCCTACTTTTCCCGAATGACACCGTGGAGGTGGCTGCATGTGTACAAACCGCGCCACTTGACACGACATCTGCCCATTCGTCAGCCCTGCCTTTATACATTTATTTTTTTCATAAATTGACACATGGCTGGTAGTAAAATTGTGCGATGTGAGTATGGGATATGTTGGCTTTCCTTCTATCGGCACGCAAAGAACAGACCGCCTTCCGTGTCTCAAAGGAATCACGTCTTTGTTATGTTGCTGTATTGTTACGATGTCATAGTTTTACATTTCTTAGTTATATTGATTTTTGTTGTTAGTAGGTTGTACCTCTCCTGCTTAGACCACTTGGGGGGCCTTTACTCCTGGGAAGTAAAAAAATAAATAAAAAATAAAAAGGCTCTAGGTACACCTAAGCACTTATGAGTTGTGAATGCGAAAGCATGCGTGCCGTTCCTCCGCTCCCGTGTTTCGTTTGCGGCGTATTTGCGTCGGCCATGCGAGCGCTCTCCCAGCTCTCCTCGCAGCTTTGACCTTGGACGCTTTGTGTTACAGGCATGCTCGCGGCACGGATACGCAGCGCCATACGGTGGCAGTCGTTGAAACTGATGCGCGCAGCGGCCAATAGGAGCCTCGTCAACGCGCGCCAGCCAATGGGATTGAAGGCAAACCCATCAGCTTTACTCCGCTCCTTTGGGATCGGGGAAACTAGGTGCCAATAAAGTCGAGGATTTTCGCGTGGTTTCATAGCTGGGAGCTGGCTCCACTGGAGAAAGGATTCAAGGTGCCGTTTGGCACGCTTCAAACTGATGAAGTCGGCTCGCTCCATGGGACAGTTAATGCTTTTGCATTAAAATGACTCATCGCAAACTGGTTTGGAACTGTTTCTTCGTTTTGCTTCGGGAGTTCAGATCCAAGACGGCGACAACCATTTCAGTTTGGGTTCTGCTCCAATTCGAGAAAAAACAAGCGGTTCAGCTACGGTTACAATTCGACACCCTGTGTACAACTACTGCACTTTCTAGTCCCTAACAGGAATTCCTCATTTCAGATACAAAGTTGGTAAAATATTATAGTCTGTTGTAGGTCAAGAGAAGCAAGACAAGCCTCTTCCGCAAAACTCTCTGCTTGCCATAATTGATGGTTTCCTTCTCTCCAGCTTTCCCCCAAATGCTTTACTAGTGTAATACTGGACATGAAAACAGCGCAAAAAATTGAACAAAGGACAAGTGAAAGGAGTGCACGGACGAAGCGCTTCGTCCGTGCACTCCTTTCACTTGTCCTTTGTTCAATTTTTTGCGCTGTTTTCACGTTTGACGATGTTAAACCAACTAGCCCAACTTACCGCCTTGTTAATACTGGACACTTGCCTCATTTGCAAGAGACAGAACTGTTAGAGAGACACCAAACCGAGAAATGGCTCTAGCTTCCACCATGAAAACAGGACGCATAAGAAGCCCTTTTGTTTGGGTGGTGTGTCTTATATTGCTAATGACCTGTCATATTTGTTGTCGGAGAGATTAAAGCATTTCCAATACCCAATACTTTTTCAGAATACAAAGGCTCCAGAGTCTCTAGGTTATTGCTGTGTTTGCTAGCACCATATCTTGACTTGGTGTTTAGATTAGAAAGCTTTTACCTCCAGAGCATTTGTATTCATGTAGTGTGTCCAGCATTCACCCAGCCCTTTAAGTATTTGGTTAACTTTCCTCATTTGAGAAGATTGGAAGACTCAGTGGCAGGGAGCATGTCCTACTTTTCTTTGCCTGCAACAAACCCCAAAAGTACTTAGAAAGGTAGATGATCGTTAATGGCAGCGAGGGCAGAATGTTATAATTTCAGTTATTGCTGAGAATGAGTAAAAAATGTACGGCAGTCTTTTTTGTCAGGGTAACGAGGCGTGATCTCGCACTCATTTGACTGGATGCTAGATATTTTGGTTCTCAGCCGTTCAAACTAAACATCCTGCCATCCTTGCAAATCAAGAACCGAAACAAGGGCACATGCCTCGTCACCAGCTTGAAAGTGTTTAACTCCTTGACCGACAGCGACCACCTCTCCGGAAAAATCTCTTCCAAGGATGAGTGGAAACCTATCGGACGAGTAGGGAAAGTGCTGGACGCTCCGAAGCACATCGATAATGTTCCTTCCGTATCCATCTGAAACGAGCACACAACTGGAAGTTTTCTTTTTTCGATCCGCGCTCAAGATATTTCGTCCGCAGGGTACCTTACCCATCATCGCGACGTCGAGAGGGTTGACGCTTGCCGCGTGTATTTTGATCAGAACATCCCTGGGACATCGTAGCTGGGGCACTCGGACTTCTTCAAGCAGAACATCGTCGATGCCACCAAATTTGTGGGTTTGCCAAGCTTTCATGCGTGCGGGCAGCGCGTGCATGTCCCTCTTCACGAGTGCTCCGATGGCCCGCTGGCTCCATAATAAGGGCATTAAAAGCATTACTGCTACTCCGTTTTTCAAAAGGCGCAGTTACGTTCGGTTTTAAGCTGAGTTAATGGCTCCTCCTTCAGCAATGAAAAAAGAGAAGAGCACATGAAGTTGTTTTAATTCGCATTTTGCACCTTTACTTTACTTTAGCACGGTGTCGCTTACCATTGTTTACTACTCCTTGAGTGCCTTGAGTGAACAGCAGAGGTGAACAGCAAATCTCGATTCTTAAACTTAGTTCAAAGCAGAGCTGAACTAAGTTAAAAAAAAAATGAAAATAGATAGAGAAGGAGTATTTTATGGTCATGAATACTTTAGTGGTTTGTTTTTTCTCCGTAAGTTGCTTCAACTATTGTTGTTAGGTGACGCAAACAACCACCCAGATTTTGTTTTGGAGCCTCTGGCATTTGTGGCATTTTTACGCTCTCTACTTGTTCATACGAACTTACAAACATAAATGGCGGCCCCCATGGGTAAGTCGCGCAACAAGCGATTGCGAGACCAGTTTTTCGTGAATTCCTCGCTCACCGCTGTGTGACGAGATTTTATAACGTCGACACGGTGACTGCAGCAATTCGCCTCGCGCTACAATTCCCTGCCTTTCCAGGAGGTGGCGGTGATGGTAGGATCTTGCCCGGAGTCCGGCACATCTTCCTGGTCTTATCTGGCAAGGGTGGTGTCGGTAAAAGCACCGTAGCGGTTGAATTAGCCCTGACCCTCGTGTCATTAGGCAACAAGGCAAGTTTCAGTGAGCAATTACGGTGCCGGACAACCCTGATGTAGATATATTGGTCTTGTCAACGGTGACACAGGTGGGCCTGCTAGATGTGGACCTGTGCGGACCCAGCGTGCCGCGGATGCTGAATCTGGATGGTCACAGTATACATCAGTGCCCCGAAGGGTGAGCTAGTTGCTGTCGCAGCTATACCTTGTAGAATTGCTTGTTGGAAGGTTGTGGAAACATTGACAACAAATCTTTACAATAACTCACGTTTGTGACGTCACTCCAAGACTGGTGCTGTTGTAAGATGGGACATGAGCAGACCTTTCGCCCTCCTGCGGGTTTCTGCGCTTGCGCTGTGCCCAAAGACGAAGAGTCCTCAGTGCAGGCTGCGGTACTTCTGAGTCCTAAGTGCTTTGAAGGGTTTCACCCTGCGAGGGTTCTGCACACAATGGCAACTAGCGCCTGTGACAGTACGAGAAATATGGAGTGTGGTCAGTATAGATGATTCCATGGTGTCAGTGGACCAGAAGGATGAGGGGCAGATTACACGGGAATAAAAATAGACATAATATTCTACGGCCCGCATTCCCCAATGTTTAACTTTCAGATGGGTTCCAGTATTCACGGACCAAAGTCAGAGGCTGGCCGTCATGTCGATCGGTTTCCTACTTAAGAACAAGAATGACCCCGTCATCTGGAGAGGTCCGAAGAAACATGGTGAGATTTGGACTTTCAGCACTCTGTGCCATTGCCTGTTTCCCCTAGCAACATCCACTACTTGATTGTGATAAAACCTGCCAGTGTGCATAGTGGAAAGAAATCATGCATAATGAAAAGACTCCTCCTTTGAAGAAGAATATGCCATGAGATGGAATAATAGGACTGAAATGCATGTTCCATGTTGCAACTTCTTAGGAAACCCAGTTCTCTTTTACTAAATGATGGAAAGTATGAAGATGTTGATCTTGTGCACTGGTGCCCGGCTCATCCTGTTTGTATTGACGTAACATTATATCATTGGTTAGGATCTGCAACTCTATGTCTACCCATTTATCCTTTCACGTCCGCTTTAGTGTCTCTTGAATGTTGCAGCACTATTTCATTGATGCTGTGCTTTAAATTATTGTTTTCTTGGCTCGCTTTTGCTCGAGGTCTGTTAGGGTGTCCCCTAACAATAGCCTCTACCTGCAGCCATGATTCGGCAGTTTTTGGGGGATGTCCACTGGGGTGAGCTGGACTACCTGGTCGTGGACACGCCGCCCGGAACATCTGACGAGCACATGTCCACGGTCGAGATGCTGAGAGGCCTCCATCCAGATGGTGCTATTCTGGTAACAACACCTCAAGTACGCTGCATTCCTTCAAGTTGAAATCTGTGCCATCATTTTTTATTATTAATTTCATCTCAATTGTGATTTCTAACAGAACAAATGATTACAATTGAATTGGAGTGACTTTAAGCTTCCTTCTGTGTTGCATATGCGATTTAGAGTATTTAAGCAAAACATGAAAGTGGTGAAGGCTGGTAAGAAGGTCACTAAAAGAAACCTCTTGAGGAATAATTAAAAGAACCAATAAAGCGCAACATAGATGTGGACGTAGGGATGTGCATTTACAACACAGAGGGCACATGTCTGCTGTATGTTTACATTCCTTCATCCGTGTCTAACTTGTGCTTTCTAGATTTATTATGTGCTGTTAATCAACTAGATCAAACCAAAGTTTTAATGATCTCAAGGTGCCTCTTTCCCTCTAATTCATAAATGTGACTTGATCTGAAGCCAAACTTCGGCTTGCTCAAGTCACCCTCAGCACCAAGTTCGATTTGAAAACTCCTAAACTGGCCTTTGTGTTTCATAGACACTCCCACAAACTTTTTTTGTCAAGCCGCGAACAGTTGTGGGCAATGAGCGGACATTTCGCTAAGTCCGTTATTGAGACATTGCCTTGTCATTCAGAGTTCCCCAAGCAGTTTTTTTTTAGTTCAGTAATTAAACAATAATGATAATGAAAGTACTAATAGTGATAATATGCAACTGTAAAGCAAGGCTAAAGCGCGAGACACATGGACATTAGAATTGTCCGATCCGACAGTCCGAACGCCGCTCCGAATTGCTGCACGCGACAGTTTGAGACACACGCTTCCGACCTTGCATGCGACACGACAATCTTTTCGGCTCCGCCCAGGCCCCAGGAGATCCAAGCGCTCCAGCGAATGTCTGGTCCCAGATTGTCAGTTCAGCTCGCACGAGCGAATTTATGAGCTCGTTCTGGCTAGCGCGTGCATTCTTTGCTGTGGCCATTTTTGTCGAATGGGTCAGCGGGATTCACGCGTCCGACAAATACTTCTTCCCCTCGCCCGTCCCGTTATCTTGTTCATCTCGCCGGACCCAGTACGTCATCATGACGTTTGCGCTTGCTGCGCTGTCATTGGCTGGACGCTTCCGACAGTTCGTCTGCCGTGCGAAACTATCTGGCACGTTGGACGCATGCCGGATCGCTGATCCAACGTCTGAAGCGACCAAATATTTCGGATCAGGCAGTCGTACTGCCGGATTGGATGTCGGATCGGATGGATTTTTCGTGCATGTGTCTCGCGCTTAATAGTAGATGACGAAATGACTTTAGCAGTCTGTGTGTGACCCTTCTTTCCCTAATGTGTTGGTCTTACCATGGCTACTATTGCTTTATATACATTGTATTGGAAGGACAGAGTAGAAGTCTTTAAAAAAAATTAAATCTGTGCAAGGTCATGCTGTATATCTCTTCTATAAACATACCCTATATCTTTTATTTTAGGCATTGTCTGTAAGTGATGTTCGTCGAGAAATCACCTTCTGTAAGAAAACAGGTCTTCCAATTCTGGGCATCATTGAAAACATGAGTGGCTTCGTCTGCCCAAACTGTTCTGTGAGTCTTTCATTTTGAACTCTTAAAGACTGAGTTTAAACACCTCAGTTAGGGCAGATCCAGCTATATGAGCTACTCAGCTTGTGAACTCCACTCATTGGGGGCATATGTCCAATTGTTCCCCCCTTAACACGTGGCTGGATGGGCAGATGCATACGGCTGTACTCTTTCAATTGGGTAGTGGCTAGCACCACCTAGTCGGCGTTTCTAATTTTAACAGTTAACCTCTACCTGATATACAAAATATTAAGATTAAACTTTTAATTGTTTTTTTTTTTAATTGTAATATAGGAAACGAGTCAGTCATGCTATCCGATGGTTACTGAACTAAATGTTGGCTAAATTAGGACCAGCACCACAATTATATTGCCTGGTTTAGTGGCATTTTTGTGTTTCTGCAGTTTTCTTATGTATTCATGCATAGGTGCAGTATCTAAACTGTTTCTTTTTGCCTAGGTATTGTAATAAGAAGGCTTACTATAGTAATAAAATAAGTCATTAGTACGGGAGTGATTTCCTGCAAAGTGGAATATGGCTTTTATTACATAGCAGATATATCCACTCTGCACTTGGCAGTGCCACACTTCTCTGCCAGCACCTTTTGTGTTGCACTTGCCTTGAGTTGACAGGCATACTAGTGCAACTTATATAAAAGGCTGATGCACTAAAGTTCCGATGTAGTGCTGATGTACTACATGTTGTTGTGAAATATCTGATGTGCCCAGTTGGAAAGAGTCATTCAACAAGGTATGTCTTGCAGGAATGCAGCAATGTGTTTTCTAGTGGAGGTGGTGAGGAACTTGCCAAAATGGCAACTGTACCTTTTCTTGGTAAGTTGAATCTTTGGCCTACCGTGTTAATTTGAAACAAAAAGTAGAAGTGTTCCGATCTCATTGTGACCTTGATTACAGGTCGGATTCCAATTGAGCCTCGTTTGGCAGAGTCCATGGAGAATGGAGATAATTTCATTGAGAAATATGCTCAGTCAGAGGCTGCTGTGGCTTTTAAGGCAATTGTTGCAAAGATAGTTGCATCCTGAAAGTACATTTCATCTTATCTTCCAGTCCAGTACATTGTGTATAATATACTGTGGGTGACCCTTACGTTCGCAAGTTAAATTTTTTCACAGTAATACAATAATAAAATGAAGTGGCTTTTATATTAAAGGGGTTGTACTGAACTGAATCGTTTGTTGTGTCTCCAATCATTTATTTGTTTGTATTTATGCCCAGTGTCATATATAATGGGGCTGCTAGCAATGAGACATGTAAATGAGTTACTAAAGGTCTTAAAACAAGTCAGAGGTAATGATTGGTTCCAGTTTAATTTTTGAAGATGCGGCAGTCTTCCTTTAGTTATGTTTTAAAAGGTTTAAAGAAATTGCTTATTTTATTCTTTACTGTTGGTTGCCAGTGGCAAGCTCTGCTGAACAACTGTGACTGCTCAAGGTGGCTAAATAGTGTCATACAAACTTTTGGAAGACTGTTCTCTAGTGTGAACTACTAATCTTGCTGCCCTCCGGATAAAAAACAAACAAACAAATTTGTGAAAAAATTGTAAGGGTGCAGGCGAGCTGGTGGAAGTTAACCATAGTTTTGTTTAACCCGAGACTGGGGTATTTTGGTTCATGGTTACCCTCTTCCGCTTTCCTTCAATGTGTAGTGCGGGTTAGAATGACCGGTTGCCGTTTTTTTTTTTTTTTTTTTTTTGTGCTTTACGGTGATTAAGTACCGGCTAGTTTAATGGTTTGTTGCTTGGCTTTGTAATTAGGTCTTGTATGCCCTCTTTCCCTTTGGTTCCGTGTGTTTGCGGGTTTGAAAAAACCTTTTAACGGTTCTTTGTTGACTTTGTGTAGTTGGAGGCTTATCTTGTCCTTTTGTCTGGCTGAAAGATTTTTCTTTTGTAATGTTTTGGGCCTATGTTTGGCTTAGTGTATTCCGGGTGTTATGTTGTCATTGGTCGACTTGGTTGGTGGTGTGTGGACGTGGTGTGTATAAAAGTGCATACGATGGAATAAAATCCTTAGCTGTGTTTGAGACGTCGCCTCCTTGTGGCCTCTTTTCTTCTCGTCCCTTTTCCGAAATACCCCAGTCTCGGGTTAAACAAAACTATGGTAAACAAATTTGATGTGTTTTTTTTTTTGTTTTGTTTTTTGTGTCACTTTTATATTTCCAGGTGCTTTTCATGACCGAAGCCTCACAAGCGAGGGGAAGATATATGTCCATTAGTTGGAAAAAATGTAATAGATTACAACCTTGTTTCTAATGCTAATATCATTTTATACAAGCTGTGTTTTTTGTTTAGACTGAAGACGGTAAAAAAATATCACAGTATTGAATATCCTCGGAAACGGTTTTTGCCGTGGTGAACGTCAGCACGAATGTGACGTGATAATTAGTGAGATAATTAAACTAAAATACATTGATTAACTTCGTATTTATTCGTCTTAGCTGACAGATTACGACCCCGTCGTCAAAATAGGCCATACAGTTGTTAGGTTTCAGAAAACAATCTTCGTGGAATCCATTAAGCTGTGAAGGGTCCGCGATACCGAAACTAAAAGACAAATGAGCGACAGAAGCCCAGCACCGAAGTGACGCCAGTTGCCGCTGGAGGTGGCGGTGGCACGATATTTGAGTCATGCGGCTGTTGCAAAATCGCGTTACACTCTGAAGCGTGTTTCACATGCAGCGGTTTTGGCCCTAGAGCGGCGCGATTTCTGCCGTCGCGGCGCCCCGGCCAGCCGCAGCGGTTGAGCAGCGCGAGCGCCGCGACGGCAGAAATCGCGCCGCTCTAGGGCCAAGATCGCTGCATGTGAAACACGCTTAGGGTGCCTACATGTCTGTCTGTCTCAGGGTGATGACATCTATTGTTGCACTGAATGTGCCAGCGCGTGACGCTCTCGCGCACTCGGTCCGTAACTTGGGTGGTAAAATGGCGCCTATACATCAGCCAAAGCTACGAGCTCGAGCTGAGTGACACCGGATTGCACGCACTTCAAAATGCATAAAAAAACGATTGGGCGGAAAAATGGCTGAGTTGTCACCACTCAAGCAAAAGCGCGCGTGTGTATGAAGGCACTCTAAACACGCTTGACGTTTCTTCAACCGCGGAGCTCTGCGTGCTTTTGTTTTCTTTTTCTCTTTTTAGTTTCAATATGAGACAGCCTAAATATGTCGCTGAGTGAAGCTCGATTCACATGCTGCAAACGTTCTCCGCGGCTGCGGCGTGGAGCACCGCAGCTGCGCTCTTTTTGCCGCACGAGCGACGTCGCAACCGCGAAGTCGCAAGCAAAAACGCAGCATGTGAATCGCACCAAGGTTTCTTTTCAAGAACAGAATTGCCCTGATCTATATTGACGACGGGCCACTAATACTTGATTAGAATCAGACATCTAAAACGAACTATAAAATAATCGACTATTACATGTGAGGTAGTTCGCTAATTATCACATCAAACTCGCGCCCTTGTGTTCGCCGTGGTCAATGAAATTAAAAATATATTTATTTATTTTATTTTAAAGGCTTGTTTTGTTTTTGCAGTATTATTTTTAGTCTAGGCAAAAGCAGGGTTGGCAGAAATACTCAAAAATGTATTTGGAAATACAAATACTTGGATACATTAAAATAGTAGCTAAAATACTGATACTAAAATATATCTAAAAATGTATCGCGATACGTATCGGAAGTACATTTAAGATAGAGGAAAAAAGTCTTTGGAAATACAAATACAGGAATACATTTCAGGGAGGGCAGAAACGCAAATACAGAAAAACTGATACTGCAATACATAAATTTTTTTCTTTTCAAATTCGTTCGCCAATAGGCCATATGCGAAATTTAGAGCGCCATCTAGTAGCGCACCGAGAACTACGTCCGCCATCTTGTTAGTGGCGAGAAAACGAAACCAGAGACCCGACCGGCAAAGACCCCATGTAAACAAGCGACCGCGCTTCGTGCGAGATGCGATGACAACGATTGCTGCATTCCGCTGCGGATGCAGCAATAAACCTTCGACTCGTGCGTGACATGAACGCGAACGTAAACAGGGCTCACAGTTTTTTTTTTTTTTTTCTTATTTTTATCTGCTACTTGAGAAGCAGCTTTTGACAAAAACAATCGGTGACAACGCGAAGAAACATGCGGACGTTATCGCGCGGCGTGAAGCCATTTACAACTATTGAACCGGGCCCTAATCTTTTCACGAAGTTGTACCAAATTTGCCTATGACCTTTTTCTTTTATGTGCGTTGTAGTGTCGGCCTGGCCTTTTTCTTGGTGCGCAAGCAGCTCAATGCATGCGGACGAGACCAAGGCTGTTAAGCGAGGCAAAACGATGGCAGTTTTAATAATCTAGGCCACCAACCATAATTGGAGATGCGTATGGTTAGGTTCATCGCAGTGGCTAAAACTTCGATGTCGGTGGCCGGAAAAATATTTACGTTGCGGACGTCGAATGAAGCAACACGGGCGGTGCCAACTTTATTTTACAACCTCCTTTTATTTTATTTTTTTATTTTTGTCGCAGCTGAGGTCGAAGTTTTGTTTTGTGCAAAGAAGCTGGGGGTAGTTTGGGAAAGTCACTGCAGTTATTTTGTCAGGGTTGAACAAATTTTCATTAATAGCGCAACGTCCGTCAACTGTGCTTGACGTCAATGCTATCTGAAACCAATTTTAGCCCTTTGGAACGCTTGAAAAATATTGCCCAGGGCACAGTTTAATTCTTTTAGAAGAACAAAGAGTGTCCCACCAAAAAACCCTAGACCAATATTTAAAAAAAAACAAAAAAAAAACGACTGTTGAGTCATTATATTTGCGTAGAACAGTATACGATTTCAAGCGTATTCGCACCAAAAAAAGAATTAAAAGTGTTCTCAAAGATGAAAGGCGCATAACGGCTTAGATCTTTCGGAGGCCCGTGCACACGCTGGCGACAACAAGCTTCCACAGCGAAGGCGTAGGACTTGGTCCGCTGCTTTGACGAGGTTGTCGCCAGCGTGCACGGACCTCCCATAGTTTTGACACACAGTTGCGGTAGGTTGTTTGAACTGTTCGTCCACATAATATGGTCAGAAGGCGGAAAGCAGTTGCTGCTCCATCGCACATTGCCCGTACGGCTGTCTCCGATGCCTCGGTACCCACAACGCTTGCCAACATTAAAATGGCGACGCTTTCAGTGTTGTCAGACCACAAAGCAATTTCGCATAAGGTCTATTGAGATGAAGCTTGAAGTTTGAAGTGGAAGTTTTTGACCTCGAAATTACTTTCCCGTAGGCTTGGCACTTTGCCTTGAAGGTAGTGGTTTCAGACGACGAGGAGTCTTTAATGGGCTCAAAAAGACGTTCCATCAAGGACTGACCGCGGACCCTTCCCTGACATTCTGTCTGTCTGACGAGAGATGTGAAAAGACTTCGACCTCTAAATAAATTCTATGTCACCCCAAATCCAATCAAAACGTCATCAAGCCCCTGTCCCATAAGGACGCCCCTGTCAACATTGATCACATGACGTCACGGTGGAATGAACTGGTATGCTTTATCTGTAGGTGGTGGCCTTGAACATGAAATTTTACCACTCTGCTGTATGAAAGGACTTCCGTTGTAGGTTATCTCGTTGAAGATCGTGCAGGCAGTGTCATTTGGAATTTTCGAAAATAGTGCACCACCTGAAGCATCCTGGAACACATGTCTTATCCTCTGTTACGGTTGAAAAAACGATTCGGTGGCATCCCTGTTGTGAAGGCCCTTTCAGCCGACCTTCCGCCACCGATGCATGAATTGCAGTCCTCAAGTTTCGCCTAGCATCATCCAAACAGACCTCGTGGATTGCGACCTGATATTGCGGGCACCGGTGCGAGCTCTCCGAGAAACAGCGCGCTCGAGACGAGTCGCAGGTGTACGCTACGAAGTATGGGCAGTAGGGGTCGGCGCAGCGAGGCCAGGTCTGGCCTCCTTCCTGAGTTTCGAATCACCAGAGTGGCGGGTCCCGTTCACGTCGGCTGATGACGTTTACAGGCGCAGCCGCAGACGCATTCGATTCGAATATGTGTTGAACTTTACTGCGTGAGTCATCCTACTATTTCAAGTCAACCACCACCATCCTCGTGCTGCATTGAACTGTGACTCGGCTTTGCCGGCTGGGTGTACTGTGTACGCTAAGGCAAGAGGGATGGTTAGCAGCGGGCAGT